ACGTTAGCCAACCTGACACAGACAGCCTTTTGATAATTTTTTTTGGTGAACTGCAAAGTTAAGCAGAACACAAAACCTGTTCACCTGAGCACTGTTCAGATAGAAAACGGTATGACCAGGCTGTTGATGCTTTCTTCCTGCCTCCTCTTTACCACCCAAAACATGAATATTGTAGAAAATACATGAATACTATTTCCTGACTGCTGGTCCTGTGTGTGTGTTCCCCTTCTCCTTTTCGAGATGCTGAGAGGAGGGCTGAGAGGTTAGAGATGATGGCACTGAGGGGAAAGGGTGTGCCTGGGATGTGCTACATGTTGCAGGCCGACTCAGAAGTCGCTCTGACATCAACTCTCAGAATTAGCAGCACGTGCAAAGGCCCTACCAAAGGGGCAATGGCCAAGGATGAGCAAGGCTATCAATAAGAAGCAATTGGGCCGAAACCGGTTTGGCTCAGTGGTAGAGCGTCGGCTTGCGGACTGAGGGGTCCCAGGTTCATTTCCGGTCAAGGGCATGTACATTGGTTGCTGGCACATCCCCGGTAGGGGGTGTGCAAGAGGCAGCTGGTGGATGTTTCTCTCTCATTGACATTTCTAGCTCTCTCTCTCTCTCCTTTCCTCTCTGTAAAAAATCAATAAAAATAAAAATAAAATAAAAAAGAAGCAATTGGAAGGAGGTTGAAAAACAGAAATGGGTGAAACAGAAAACCCTAGAGGACTTGAAGCTACACAAAACCTTGTGTGGGATGTGCTCAGTCAGAGATGCAACAATACACAGGCCAATCTGCAAGCCCATATGAGCAAGGGCTGAAAGAGAAGGACACCATTCATTTTTTTCTTTATTTATCAAACAGTAAAATCTCCCCTTCTCTCCCAAATTGTCTCTCCCTCAAATTTTTTTTTATGATAGTGCCAGAGGATCTGGCATCAAAGCTGGCAAATCTACAAGGTACAAATCAACAGACAGGGAAATTCCCCAATCACTCTGATTAGAAGGGATCATGTAATTCCCTTACTCTGGAGACTAGAAATCAGCTTCCATTTTTCAAAACTTCTGAAGACAGCATAATACTGTGCAAATAGGCACACAGGTGTTTATTTTAGTCTTTCCATTTCTTCCTAGGAATGTGTAACTCCTGCGCTCAGAGCAGTTACTCTGAAAAGGGGGTCGATAAACACACCAAATTCAAGAGGTCTGGGATCTCAGGGAGAACTGAGGGCATTCCTACTACTGTGACATGCAAAAGGCACACAGAATGATGCCTTCTTAACCTCTGTGACCTCCCCTTGCACACCACACAGAGGTGAGACGACCTTAATTTGTGTGGGCATACCGTTCTTCATTTCCAGTTATGTGTCGCCCCAAAGTACACAGCGTGAAAATGATGCTATCCAGTAAGCAGTGAGTTTCCAGCAGACTGGGCTCTTCAAGCCTGGTTCCCACTTTGGGAAGGGTCATAAAACGATGTGATTATAAGAGGCAAACCACCACCTTCCATAGAACACTAGAGCAGGCTGCTCACAAATGAGCAATAAAGCAAAACACTCACATGAAAGAGCAGAGGAAATACACACAGTGCAGAATTTTTTAAAAAAAATATCAGAAAATCCCCAAACTCTATTGATAGTTATATAAAGCCCCCCCCTTTTTTTTAAAGCATGTGGTTTCCTTTCACACATTTAGTTAAATACATCATAGACATTTACCATCTACTTCTAAGGATTTTAGAAAATAGCCTAGTCTCACCCCACTACCCAATACTCATCTTAATTTTGTTTAAGCCTGGGCTCATATTTACTCTATCCTTGGACAGTCACTCAGGTATCAACTGAGTGTCCACTGTGGACCATGCAACCTCTAGGACTAGAATTACCAAAAAATTAATAATAATAATAAAATAATGATTTTTGCTTTCATGGAAATTAGTCCAGTTATGGAAATGGACAATTAAAAATCCTATAAATAAAAGCCTAATATGCAAATTGACTGAATGGCTGAATGACCAATAGAACCACCAGTCACTCTGATGCACACTGACCACCAGGGGGCAGATGCTAAACACAGGAGCTGCCCCCAGCCTGCAGGTGGATGCCAGTGGGGGGGAAGGGGGGAGTGTCCCCAATTGCCCTGCTGATCACCTTGCAGAGGGAGGTGACCAGTGGCAGTGGCAGGATGGGCTGGTGAGCCAATCTCCTCGCCAGTCACCCCAAAGACCAGCCCTGATCACTGGCCAGGCCTAGGGACCCTACCCATGTACAAATTTCATGCCCCGAGCCTCTAGTAAATATATAATATGTAAGGTGTTTAAAAAGCAAGATAGGCTAGATGATAGAGATGGGGTGGATGCTATTTTATACAGGTGAGGGCGGGTTACTTTGAAAAGGTAACTTGAGAAGTCCTATTTAAGGAAGGAGGGATGCTCAGGAAAGAAATATCTATCACCACCTCCTTGTTTACAAACTAAGTAAATGTTTGAAATTAAAAAGTTAATTTCAAAAGTGGCTCAGACCAACGGGTGTGGTTCCTAAATGTAATTGACTACCACAATATTCTTAGAAAGCAGTCTAGTGAACACCTTTGAACTGCCTGGTGGACCTGGGGAGGGCCTATTGGAAAGGGTATTACAGTGAAGACAGAAATAGCAATTATTTTCCTTCACCATAAAGCTGTGCTCAACATTTTAAGAACAGCAGTGCATTAAAATTGTGTCAAATCATTGACTACCTGAAAGTTTACGTTCAGAACCTCACTTACTATTTGAGGTCTGACATGGTATCACATGAGCAGTTCAAAGCAATGGTTTAAACAAAAACCCACAAGAGTACAAAAAAAAAAAAAGTTAGATTGATTATAATAACTGCAGTACTCATTACAAGGTAATCGGAAACCTAAACCACTTTTTTAGAAGACACTTGTTTCCTAGGATGAAAATGCTTTAAAACCATTTCCTGAAGTACATTCTAATAGCTACCTGATTGAGAAAACAATTTCCAGTAAAACACACTAATATTGCAGCTCCCAGATCTCACAAGACACCAAATGAGTCCATAATAGTAAAGGACACTTTCACAATAAGAGATACTTTGGATTAAGTATTAAAGTGCCTCTTACAATGCTCTGCCCCTTACGGGGTCAGCAACCAAGATGCCACCTGGTCCATAAGCAGTAGCCTGGAGCAAGTTACAAACTCACAAAATACCACTCCATAGGGTCAGTGACTTGCCCCAGGCTGTGAACTTAGCTGACCTTGACAATAAGATGGGGAACAGAATTCAGATCAATCGATTCCAGAAGTTGTGTACTTTCTCCTAGAACCAAGGTGCTCATACATACAAAATGGAAATACATTAAAACACCAACATAATTCTTAGCCTGTTCACTATGATGCACTGAGAGATTTCCAATGTAATAAACTTACTTTAATACACTATTTAAGCCATTTATATGGATAAATATGCATACTTTAATAAAATATTTAGAAAAACATGAAATAAAAAAATTCAGTGGAAATTTTTCTTTTCAACATTAAAGCTTTTTCTCCTTGATATATGCCCTCACATTACTAAACCTTGTTTTTCAAAAGATTTTATGAAACTGGAAAAAAAACAACAACACATAGATAATAGGCACCTGGAAAAGTTAGTAAACTTTGTTATTAAGCTGAAAACTTAACTACATAAAGTTATTTATGTATGTATATACCCATTTACACATATGTTGTGTACACACATAAAAACAAGTATATGTATTTATGTATACATAATGCATATACAAATATATAGTGTATATTGTGCGTATACATACAATAAATATATATTGTATTAAGTGTGTATATATTTTAGACATTTATATAAGACCTTGGTCAAAGCTGGCTTCTCACTTTCTAAATTTTAAAGGTGGTATGTTCCTAAGCCAGTGGTTGGCAAACTGTGGCTTGCAAGCTGCAGTTTGCTGCTCTGTTGACTAATGCGTTTGCCAACCACTGACCTAGGACATCCTGGGCTTCCTGTTGCCATATCCTTTCCTGGTCAAAACTCTTCTAAACTGCCCAGCTGGCACGACTCAGTGCTTGAGCACTGACCTATGAACCAGAAGGTCGCGGTTAGATTCCTGGTCAGGGCACTTGCCCAGGTTGTGGGCTCAATCTCCAGTGTGGGGTGTCATGAGGCAGCTGATAAATGATTCTCATCTTTGATGTTTCTATCTCTCCCTCTCCTTTCCTCTCTGAAATCTATCAAAATATATATTTAAAAAAAACAAATAAACCTCTTCTTAACTTCTTTTGGAGACACTGTCTGTCACTGAGGTAAAATCTCCAGAAAGCAGAGCTGCCCCAACCCCTAAGTATCTTGGCGGGTGAGCCCTCTGAAGCCACCGGGTACTGTCTCTTCAATTACTTGGTCCCCCAATGCCTCACGGAAGGTGACTTGAGCAGCTGACCTGCAGGATCTATCTGACTAATCTCAAAGTCCCAGCCCAGCAGCCCCATAAAAACCAGCCAACCAGACAATTTCAGTAAGAGAAGCACCTAAAACAACTGACTATACTTGCATACCTCAGATTTTTGAAAACACCAAAAAACATTCATTCCAAACACTTCACACCAATAAAAATCACTGCTGGTGGCAATCCCTGTGGCTAATTCTTAGCCCAGAGAATGTGAACCCTACCCATCAACCTAAAAGAACTGCGAGGCTGTTTAAACTTGACACCACTGAACTGTGTACCTGGAGCAAGGGCATTCCTACCATGAAAGAATCACCGCATCTCACTCTTTCTTCCAGAAGGAGAAAGTGAGAAGTGCTCCATAGAAGCTGAGAGAAAGGCAAGTTTGTAGCAAATGAAAACAGAACCTCTTCCTTAAACAACAACAACAAATAAATAACTGGATGATCACCTCGCACTACCATGAACACCCCTTCATCAGCCTGACCCAGCCACATCCAATGATTCACGACTCCTTGCAAGGCAAGCCACTGCAGAAGCTGCTCCTGTTAACTTACAACATTCACTGTGCGCGGTTCACCGGCAGCCCCAGCCTTCCTTCACCATGGAGACGTCCCACGAGAAGCTGGAGCGCTCCTGGGCTCAGGCGTGTTCTTCCCCCTTTCACAGAGACGTGAGGAAAACCTAGCATGGGAATAGAACAGAAGAGAAAGGAAAGGTCAATGCACCATCAAGTCATTCTTCATCTCAACAAATGAAGTTCGCAATCAATTAGACTCATTGATCATTCGCCAAAGACCATTCTCCGCTACCTTTTTGTGAAAAAGAAACTCAATAGTTCTGCTCTCGCCCCAGGAGACACAGCAGCAGGCCACAGCCAACCTTTCGCCCTGCTCCTCCCCGCCCCCCATGAAGTGGAAGCCAGCTCTGGGAGACTTCAGAGGCAATGCCAGCTGAGATGCAAACTTGCAACACAGCCTCAAAATAAACCCTTGGTTTTACTCTCTACAGAAAGGAGGGAGCTGGGACCTCTTGCCATTTTCATACCTCACTGGGTGGTTGGGAAGATCAATAAGATCACTCTTGCAAAGCACACACAGTTCCTGAGAAGAAAGGCACTATGTAAACACAAAGCTTTGTCAGTGGTCATAAGCCTGTTACAGAGCTCTGAGCCAGGATATAAAAGCCAGCCTTGGCCAGCCACCAACAACTGACAATCCCTGGGGCCCTCAAACTTCCAAACCTCAGCAAGGGCCACCAGGCTGATTCCTCCTTCCAGGGAGGGGCAGAGGGAAGCAGAGGTCTGGGATCTCAGGGAGAAAGAAACTGAGGGCCTGGGGCAGGAAGGGAAGAGGAAGGGGGAGTGGAAGGGAGGTGGTGAGAGGCATGTGCAGGCGCATCGTGACCTGGTCCAGCCACAGGACTCCCTTGGGTGGGTGGCTGGTTTGCAGCGGTTAGTGCGCTGGAGGTTTGCGGGGCTGTGAAATTTTCCACTTGGCCGTCTGCCATTTCCGCCCACCGAGGATAACACTTAGACACAGTTGTGGTGCACAGAGGACCTGCGGGGGAAGGACTGGGTCTTTTGTGCTTGTTGCTTTTAAAGAAAAGACCTATTCATATTTTGAGCTTTAATATTTTCCACACCTGGATTTTTTAAATTTCTCCCTTCTTGAAGACAGAGCCAGAAACAGCCTTTCCTGGGCCAATATGATCAAGTTATTTTGACTCGGGAATCCTTGAGGAACACACTTGAGGTAAAGGAACACACGGGAGTGGTGTTGGGGACGACAGGAAACTGATTCTAAGTGCTGTGCTGGGATCTTGTTTGCTTCCCAAATAAATCACCCACCAAGGCCTTCCGAAGTCATGAGCACAGGCTGAGGAAAGGCGGCAGCTGCAGCATTAGCATGGTGGGTGTAATATTTTTGAGAGAAAAAAAAGTGGTCCCTATCTCAAAAAAAAAAAAAAAAAAAAAAAGACAACAATGAGTGATGTCAAATCTTAGATGTGGAATTGGTAAAACACTGACAAATTCTACCTCAAAATAAAGAACTAAAAATTGGAGAGAAAGGAATTAGGACAGAAGAGAGAAAGGAAGTGTCTGCTGCCGATATAATTAACCATGCTTTCATGGTGAACACAGCTCACAAAGTGCTTGCCTATTAATTAACTCATTCATGTCAAATTTTTACTTGGTGCTTAGCATACCCACCAGGTTCTACATTTCCCATGGTGAGCAGATCAGACAAGAACCATGCCATCAAGGAGCTCCTTGCCTCACAGGGCCGGCATGAAAGAATCCTAGCACACTCTCTGTAGTTTATGTATAAGATGTGAACACAGAACAGATATTGCGAACAAAAAATAAGCACGGTCATTTGCATTCATAACGAGGTAGGTACCCCATTTGGAAGGAGAGGCTCAGAAGGCTTTTCTCACTAAAGTAACATTTAATCAGAGACGTGAAAGATGAGGGGAAGTTGGCCAGGCATGGGGTTTCCAGGGAGAGGAAACAGCCTGTCCTTAGGGGATGCCATCCAGAGATGAACAACTGAGTTCTACATTCTCTTGTGTGTGTGTGTTTCTGGCCATTTCTACTGGGTCTCCTTGATTTAAATCAAGAACTGAACAATAGACTTTATATTATTAGCAGCTTGTGGTGACTGCTTTGCAATATATAGACATATGGAATCATTGTTGTATACCTGAAACTAACATCATGTTACATGTCAAATATATTTCAAATTTTTTTTTAAGCTGATTCTTCTTTCTGACTGCCAGGCCCATCAGAGCAGTGCACACTTAGTGGTTTCCTGGAGAGGAACCCCATAAGTGCAGGTATTAAATCTGATGTGACAGCAGAGGTCCACTCTGGTCTCCTAATGCATCTCACCCACCCCATCATCACAAGGAAAAGAAGCTCTCTGCTAACACCTGCATGCCGCAGCTGGAGTTAAGAAAACCCTCTCCAAAAAGAGCTAAAAACAGATCACATCACATGTAAATGTCTGAAAAAATATCTTCTTAGTACTTTGCATTAGGTTTCAAATTTGCTGGCTTCCTCTAGATTAACAATTTTTAAAAAAAATTTCTCTCATGCCCTTAAATGACATTTATATCCACCTACCTAATACAATGTGTCAACTGTAATTAAAAATCAAAATTCATTTTTTAAAAAGAGTGTCTTAGAAACCATCTGTCTTGGTTTTCGGCTTGGTTACCTGTTTGCTTACCCACGTGAGTAATTCTTTGCAAAGAAATAAAATTGTTCCCTATGTTCCAGATCTGGTACAATTTAATTCTTCCACTAAGGAAAATCAGCTATTTGCTTTCCTCATCCTACGAAACAAAGGCTTCCTCAGGCAGGCTTATTCATGCTCTCCCCATGAATGGAGTCAGTTTGAAAATCTATTTGAAATGAATAAGCCGAACTTTTACCTGCATCTCTTTCCATTTAAGACACCCAGGATAAAATGTAATTTCTCCCACAAGTTTCTCATAAAACCAAAAATAATAAAACACTCCATGTTTGGTCTTGAAATACAAACCCTCGCTTTTGACTCAGTAGCTTTGACAAACTAGAAAACTTGGGAAGACAAGGGAGGGCAAGGAAATGAACTTCCTGAACCTGAGGTGTCCAGCAGCCCCCCCACCAGCCCTGGGAAAGCCTGCCTGGCTGACAGCTTCTTCCCGTCCAGAGGAGAAAATGACAGGGTGCCAATTTCTCCTTCCCCTGACTGCCCACAGCACTTACAGTCTCCATCACACATTTTAACCCGAGTCCTTTTCAATCCCGAGTTCAGTCATACTGTCTGTTTATGTTCCACTGGATTTATTTAAGGCTTGAAGGCTTGAAAAGCTTTTAAGCTCGTTGGTGAAAGAAACCTTGCCATGCCCTTCTTTTGCAGCCTCCTCAGCGTGTCTATGAGAAGAGCCTGAATTTAAATTAAATGATCCATTTCCAAAAACCTGTTCCACGGCTTAAGCCATGCTCCAAAGGAACCACTGCTCTCTAGCTATAATTTAAGCACTTCTCGGTTTCCTCTGTCCTCCAGGGACCTGGAGCTCCTTCGATGCCTACCGTCCAAATGAAAGCCCTCCATACACAGGAGAACAATTAAGTTATAACTCAGCTCTCGCTCCTCTGTTCTTTCGGCCCATTGTATCGATATTTTTAGTTGCGGGTTGCTTTTGAACAGTTGCCATCTCCTTTCAAGATTTACAACCCACACCGCACCCCAGGTCACTAGGAATCTATATCTTTGATCCTCACAGTTTTTCAAAAGCCATGATGAAGGAAACCCTTGTCTGTGGAGGGGAGATGTACGAAGAGCTTCTCAAATCTGAACCGCCATCAGAAAACCCTGGAGGTCTTGTTCCACCAGGCTGTTGGGTCCCATCCCCAGGATGTCTGATCCAGTAGGTGTGGGGTTTCTCACCAGTTCCCAGGTGATGAGAACCCCTGCTCCGAGGGCAAGCCTTTGTGGTCAGACAGAGGCTAAGGATGAGTATATTTAATTACTCTCTGCGGAGGGCCACATTGGAAGGACTCTCATCTGTCTATTCCAAAGAGGTGACAGATGGCCAAAAACAAAAAGGCTCACACACTTTATAATCTGGGAAAACATTTGGTGGCTTTCGGCCTTGAGTCTTAGTCTGTTTTCTTCCTACTGGCTTCAGGTCCTGTCAGGGTCAATTCAGCCCTGTCTCTCCGTCCATCTTTTTCTTTTACTGGCAACTCCTTACAAAGGTATCAGCCATTGCTACCCCTGAAAGACCTTCCCTACATCCTGATACATTCCCAGATGGCTGTCACCTCTCTCCTGTTCACCAACAAACATGTTAATGTGTAGAACAAACTCAATGTTGGTATCGTCTTGTTTGACTTCCACCTCTCTTGTTTTTTTTAAGTAAACCTCTTTGTTTCAGATGGCTTCCTGCCTTCTAAATGCAGTGGCTCTTTTCTACCCTCTGGCTGTGATGACTGTCTTAGGGATAGGCAGGTGACCAGTGCCATGCCAATCAAAGCCCCTCAGACTGGCTGATTGGAGGAAATCAGGCACTTGTCCCAGCGAGGCCAGGGAAGCATGCTCTACAGAGAGATGCTCTTACCCCCTGGTGAGGAAGGCCCACCTGACAATGAAGCTCCTGAGCAGGGAGCAAAGCTGAAAGACAGAAGGACTGGGTCCTGACAACAGTGAGGTCCTGGGGACCCCGCCATGCCAAAAGTTAGATTTATCCCTGGCAAATGCCAAAGTGGCCCCCACACGGCCCTGCCCTCTAGGGCACACACACCTCCTACTTATCCAATCAAACGTGAACCTGGTTGTTGCTGCTATGAAGGGATTTTGCAGATGAAATTAAGCTCCTAAATCGATCGACCTTGAAATAGAAAGATTACCCACGGTGGGTTTAGTGACTAATCAGGTGAGCCTTCAGGGAGACAGGTTTTTCCAGGACTCAGACTCAAAGCAGGAGAGGGCTGTGGGAGGAGGGAGCAACACAATGTGGCGAGGGGGAGAGAGCATGAGCTGGGAGTGGTGCCTCGCCCACAGCCCACAGTCAGCAATAGGACAGGGGCCTCAGTCCTACCATCACAAGAAAATAAATTCTGCCAGTGAACATGTGAGCTCAAAAGACAACCATGAGCCCCCGAGGAGAATGCAGTCCGGCCAGCACTCTGA